TGGCATCAGTTTAGGAGAGAGAGATTCCTAACAAAGCATTGATTGAGCTGCATGCATACAGCCACGCACAATGGCTGGAAAACGCTGTGGATTTGCTCAATAGGGCTCTGGTAAGCAGGCTGGTTTTCAGCAGGCCTCCAGAGAAACGTGGAGTAGAGATATAAAGCACATCTGGAGAATGAGACAGGGACAGTCCATCACTGTCACACACACGCAGGTGCACACAAACACATCACATTATGCATACATGCACCGAAAATGCCATAACGCTGCGTTTTTATGCATTAAACCATTTCAAGGAGTAGTTATAAATAAGCATGAATATATAATTGGGGTTCTAGTTATTCACGAGAGCATACTGATTAGTATATTCAGTGTAGGCATTAGTGCATTAAGACTATCTTTATAAATATTAGTAATGTACCGTATTGTCCCGAATATAAGACGACCCTGATTATAAGACGACCCCCCCTTTTTCCAGATGTACCTTTTGGAAAAAGGCTTTTTAAAAACCAAATCTTGTTTTTTCTCAGTTAAACACATTTTGTCTTCAATTATTTTCATATTGCATATTTTTCCTATTTTAATTTTTGTTTTGAAAGTATGGTAAAAACTGGTAAAATGTACCAACAATCACATTTAAAAAAATATACACTTTTTGATATACCATTAAAAAAAAAACAGGTAGCCCATCTGAATTAGGACATTTAGGCTATCCATCTAATAGTAGCCTTCCAAAATCTTATTAACAGTAGAAGTTAAATCTTACTGTAGTCTTAAAATCACAAAGGGAGTTTGGTGTCATCAGGCTAACGTGACAGTCACGACTCATGCAGCTGTCAGGTTTTTTTTTCTTTTGTTTTTACTCGCGATCTTTACAACACGCATTACATTATGTATTTCATGGCACACTCATTTTATGCGTATTTGGCGCCACCTAGTGTTGTGGGTGTATTATTGACATGTCAAAGTCTAGACCCTGAATATAAGACGACCGCGTTTTTTCAGATGTATTTCCAAGAAAAAAATATCGTCTTATATTCGGGACAATACGGTACATTATGAAATGATAGAAGATTGTTCATACAGCCCACCCTTACCTTGAGTGATCAAAAGCTTCGCTCCGCAGCACTGGATGTTTACACTGGCTTACATTGAGGCTTTGAAATATGAGTCTTTAGCGGTTTGGAAAAATGTAAGCAAATCCAACTTCTGATCCAAATACAAAACTGATTAAACTCAATGAAGGTTGTGTGAACCTCCTTCAATCAGAGGAATGCACACATTTATCTACTTATCTACCTCTCATGGTTTGCATTTCAATACTGTCTTTTTCTCCTTCACTTCTCTCTGCATTGGTGACTTGTGTTCAGACATCCTGGAAGGTATGAATCCCTGCCTGACTTTGTGTTTGTCTAGGTCGTGTCTGTCTATAGTGGCACCACCGACGCCATCCTAACACCCCCCTCCCCTAAACCCTAAAACTGCGTACTACTTCATTTAGCTGTGTACTGTACTAATATGTTTTCACATGATGTTGGGTTCAGCTCAGTGAAATTAAACTTGGGATATGGGCAAAACAATTAATATTTAAAGGCAGAGTAAGTGATTTTTCAAAAACACTTTAGAAAATACTTAAATGTTAATAGTAATTTACATTAAAAAACCCCACCCCTAAAAAGCCCTAATTTATACGGTAATTAAGTTGAAGACATGGTGATGAATGACATGATTTAACTAAATATTTCTCTACAAATGCAAAATGCAAAGACACGATTAACAGTTTTATTTCCTCAACTCGCTCAGCTGGAAAGCTGCACACAATTATTTTATTTTTTTTAAGCTATTCTGTAGGGCTTTGTTACTTGTTGAAGTAATTGAAAATCCTACACTGTTTTGAAACATTATGCTGCTGAATGATGTAGTATCAGCTACATATCTTTCAGTTAGTTAGTCCCCAGCACTGTTCAGAGTAACTGTAATACTGCTGTAAGCATTTTTTAGGTGACTGGGTGCAGATACAGAAGTCCAAGCTTGAGGAGATGGAGTTATTAGCTTAAACATTCATAAAAACACACCCTCAACTGTTTACTTGTAATTTCCAAGTCATGTTGAATTCATTGTCAAGTCACAGTTTTTCAATTTTCATTCTGGCTCAGTCAGCAGCACTAACACACAGATCTTTGAGCGAATGATTGCTCTTGTTACCGAGGAGAACGCTTGCCTTGTTCTCATGTTTTTGTCAAGAACTAGTCATGCATTGAGTTTGTGTCTGACTAATGCAAAACACAGCAATAGCATTACTGTATTATTATTGCAATAGCAAACCATGCTTTTTTTTGTGTTTATGTCTTCCAACCTATAGCATCTTTTTCCAGCTTGAAAACAGAACTGGAACGAGTAAAGAGTGAGAAGGAACAGGTAGGGGCAGACGTAAATTTTTATTACCTTTTAGCTTGAACGTCACAAAACGTCAATGTGACTCCAAAACCCAAAAGCTTTTTTTCTTTTTCTTTTTTTGCAGAATAGTATTTGAGAAGTGCATTTTTCTCAATAATGTATTAAATAATAATAAATAATATTTATGGTGCATGGTATTTATGCATAATATCAGTATTTTTCTCACAATAGTAGTAGTAATAATAGGAGGGTTTTTCCTACAGTATTTTTATTCATTATCGTCAATGTTTTTTTTTTTGTCTGTACTTGTTGACCAATCTGCTGATTTTTACAACAGCTGGAGAGCAGCTTGGCAGAGAAGAGCCAGATGCTGGAGAGCGTCCAGGGCCTGAAGAACAGTCTGGAGGAACAGTTGAAAGACGCCCTCGGCAGCAAGGTCTGAACCTCCATGTGATCACTGCGCTCTACCTTCACACTAGATTTCTGCATGCTCATCTTTGAGTTATGTTTCTCATAACTCATCGCAAAGTTCAGAGTCTGCTCAGTTTCCTGTGCATGTGATAGATCATTTGATAAGATAAGCAGGATTCTTAGACCATACAAACAGCAGTGTTGGATTTGCATCAAACAAAAGATTGCATGTTTGTTTTAGTTAATATAATCCTGTATTATAAAGTAGAGTGAAACCCTTATTTACAAAAAAAAAAAAAAATGTGTGTGTGTGTGTTGTAGAGTGCTTTGTTTTTTTTAAATGTGTGCGTGTGTGTTGTAGAGTGCTTTGGAGACTCAGGTGTTTGAAGAGAAAGACAAGGCACAGAGACTTCGGACAGAGCTGGATGTCAGCGAGCAGGTCCAGAGAGATTTCGTCAAACTGTCCCAGACCCTTCAGGTAAACACAGCTCACTAGTAGAACATGAAGGACTGCTTGAGGCACAACAGCACGTCAAGACCCTTCTGGGAGATGATGGTAGCTTTTCTTTTCTTCTTCTAGTGAGTTATGCAGTCATATGACTTGAGGCAAAATCACACTAATTTTTTGATGCACATCTAGGAATTTCTTCCGTAAATGTGTTTGTGCTTTTGTCCCACTAAATACAAATGGTATCCACCTCAAGTGAGTGTATGTTTTTAATGAATAGGAGTGTCAATGTAAAATGAGTTCAAACATGAATAAATTAATTGTTAAATAATGAATCAAATATTTTTAATCTATTCATTTGTCCAATTGAAAGGCGATATATAATTTTATTACATTTTCATTAACACTGTTAAACAAGAATTCAATAAACAATGTGTTTATTTGTCCATTTGAAAATGGCAAACGTTTGAGCAATATATAATTATTACTAATATTCAGCAAGGATCGCTTGATCAAAAATGACAGTAAAGACATTTATAATATTACTAAAGATTTCTGTTTCAAATAAAAATGCTGTTGTTTTTAACTTTATAGTCATCAAAGAATCTTAAAAAGTGTATCACTGTTTCCAGAAAAATAATAAGCAGCATGACTGTTTTCAAGAATGATAATAAGAAAAGGCAGCAAATCAGTATATTAGAATGATTTCTGAAGAATCATGTGACACTGAAGACTGGAGTAATGATGCTGAAAATACAGCTTTGCCATCACAGGAATAAATTACATTTTAAAAATATATTAAAATACAAAACGGTTATTTTTAAATTGTGATAATATTTCACAATATTGCTGTTTTTGCTGTATTTGGGATCAAACAAATGCAGCATTGGTGAGCATGAGATTTAAATGATACATTAATTCAAAACTAAAATTACGCAAAAATAAAAATGTACACAAAGGTTAAAGGGTTTGGGGTTTGTAAGATTTAAAAAAAAAATTTTTTAAAGAGACTTTTTTTTTGGTCCATTAAAAAAAAAGAAAAAAATACAGATTGTTATTGAGATCATTGAATTTGTTCCCCCCCCCCACACACACACACACACCTGCATACAGCTGAAGATACAATGTTCTTGTTCTCCCTTCAGGTGCAATTGGAGCGTATCCGGCAAGCAGACTCGTTAGAGCGCATCCGTGCCATCCTCAACGGCACCAACCTAACAGACATCAGCCAGCTCCCTGAGACATGATGTCACTTCCTCCTTGCACAGAAACACACACACACCACCTGTACCCCCACACACACACACATGCATACAGCTGAAGATACAATGTTCTTGTTCTCCCTTCAGGTGCAATTGGAGCGTATCCGGCAAGCAGACTCGTTAGAGCGCATCCGTGCCATCCTCAACGGCACCAACCTAACAGACATCAGCCAGCTCCCTGAGACATGATGTCACTTCCTCCTTGCACAGAAACACACACACACCACCTGTACCCCAGATCTTCGGCCTGACTCCATCTAGATAAACCGAATCGAGCGAGGAAGACTTGATCCTGCAGGTCTCGGTGAACACTACTGATTTCTCCTACTGCTATCCAGCTTGTCCATGCGTTCGCAAGAGCAAGTCCATGCGTTCCATCTGCTAAGCTAGCAGCAGTGACCTATGAAGGAAACGGACACTTCTGAAGTGGTTTGTACATACTTGTGTACAGATTATTTGTGTATATTGCGTTAGTTAAGTTAATACACAAGACTGTGATTCCCTTCTTGACCCGCCTCCTACATTTTCACTGTGTTTCTCGTCGTCCGCCAGTCATTTCACTGGGATGTAATTACTAGCTGCGTCGGATCACTTTTCCTCAACAACCATCGTCTTAGACTTTTTTTTTTTTCCACACTTCCTGGCAATTTAACAAAATCGATGTCCTTTGCTTGAAGTTACTGTCAAGTATACAGCAACAGCTCTTACACTGACCGAGTTATAATCGAGTGTATATTAATGAAAGCACACTATGTTTATGATTTACAGTCGTTGTGATGCCCTGTGGGACTAAGGGGCGTCTTGTGTACCATGTCTGTGTCTGTCTTATGTGTGGCGTAAACAGAAAAGCGAATGGGATTCGCAGAACCAAAGTTGATCATGTTGACCTTAAATTCTCCAAGCAGCATATTTGGATAGTTTAAATCATAATCATAATGAGAAAAGGGGGAAACAAGGGCTTAAATCATTTTCTGGTTCATGTTTACTTTAAAATAACGGTTGCCAGGCGATGTAACTCAACTGCAGGAAACAAGTGCAAAGTGTGATTTATATTCAGTTGTCTAAATGGCAAAAATTCAGTTTTTTTTTTTTTTACGAGACCTAAAGTGGCATGTGATTATGGCATGGTCTTTTTAAAATAAAATAAAAAATAGGCCAGGCTGTAGAATTAACCTTAAAAAGCGCCCATGGCTTGAGAATGAAAATTGGCTGAAAATTTGAAAAAATTGATAGTTAAAGCCATGCACCTGCATGTTGAACGTTATGTCTGCTAATTTTGTAATTAAAAGAGAGGAAGTTGTCAGTGTCAATGGAAATCTTAATTCAGTCAAAATATTCCATATATTAAAATGTGCAGCTTGATTAATACAATGAATTGTTTACTGAGCAAATCCAACCTCTTTATCAACTACATCTTATGAGTACACAGAACTTTAACAACGCTACTATAGTATGACCAGTGCTGCTGTTGTGATCTGATGAGGATGAGGATGATGATGAAGCTTTCCTGTGTGAATATGTCCATTATATTATGACCAGGTGTGTTGTGGTGTTGTTTGATTTTATTATCTGTAAGTTGCACTTCATAACGCTCACATGTTCCTGTGCAAACACACGTAAGCTTCATGTAATTGCTACTGCAATGGCTTCATGTTTCATTAGAGCAACAGAAGCGTTTCACTTCAGTGGTTTTGACAGAGTATTTTAGGAACTACATTTTTCATTAGCAGACACTGCTTGAACTCTAATAACTGATGTGGGGCAAGGAGACTACCGTTTTTAATGAAAATTGTTTTAAATAGACTTTTCTCCAGTCAGTATAAGTTATAATTCATGACAGTCATTTGTACTGGGTTTGTGAAGAGGGATAGTTCAGATACTTTCACAATAACAATGGTTATATTTCTGTTCTTTGCATGCTGTTGCAAATGCAGAAGCCCTTGCAGATTTATATACTGTACTGTGAACATATCCCTGTACATATCTATATAATAAAACAATCTGAAACTTAAGTTTTATGTGGCTTTGTAGTCAGTAGCCGATCCATTTCCCTTTTTCATCCCCTTCCCAATATCGTATTAATCTCATGTCAACATGTATAATGTTTAAGACTTTAGTTATACATTGTTTTTAAAGCATTTGATGTTTTAATGTTTACATTTAACGCAGTGTAATATAATTTCCAACACATAAATGTGAGTCATGCTTTGGTAAATCAAAATGATGACATACAAATTATAATTTACATTAATCGAAATTGAGAAAAATGTCACCATGAAATAAAAAGTCAGTTGACAGTCATAATTATGAGAAAAAGTTCAAATTGACATAAGCCAAATCAGAAAAAAAAAAGTTTTCAGTCAATATGAAAAATTCATCGTTATTAGTCAAAATTTATGGTAACAGTTTTTTTGTGGCAGTAACGGATTTGTTTATTTTTTGCATAACAGTAACGGATGAGACTTTTGGGTAACACTAACAATGTTTGCATAACATTAACAGGAATGAGTCTACTGTGTAACAGTAACAGGATTTTTTTTTCCGCATAACAGTAACAGGAATGAGTCTTGTGTAACAGTGATGTGTTTTTTGCGTAACATGAATGAGCATTCTGTGTAACAATAACGGATTAATTTTTGCGTAACAGGAACGAGTCTTCTGTGTAACAGCAACAGGGATTTGTATTTTTTATGGAACTAACAGGAATGAGTCTTCTGTGAAACAACGGGGATTTTTTTTTTTTTTTTGCGTAACAGGAATGAGTCTACTGTGCAAAAAAGTAACAGGGTTTTTTTTTTTGCATAACAGTAACGGATGAGACTTTTGGGTAATGATAACAGGGATGGGTTTCTTTTTGCGTAACAGTAACAGGAATGAGTCTTCTGTGTAAAAGTAACAGGGTTTTTGTTTTTTGCATAAGAGTAACGGATGAGACTTTTGGGTAATGATAACAGGGATGGGTTTCTTTTTGCGTAACAGTAACAGGAATGAGTCTAATGTGTAAAAGTAACGGATTTGTTTTTTGCGTAACAGGAATGAGTCTTCTGTGTAACCGTAACTAGGGCTGGGACAATAAATCGATGCATCGCGATTCGTGGATCGATTCTGAGATTATCGGAATGCATCGTCAGTAACAGGGATTCGTTTTTTTGCATAATAGTAACAGGAATGAGTCTATATTGTAACAGTAACTGGGATTTTTTGTGTGTAAAAGCAACAGGAATGACTCTTCTGCGTAACAGTAACTGGGATTTTTTTGTGTAAAAGTAACAGGAATGACTCCTCTGTGTAACAGTAACTGGGATTTTTTGTGTGTAAAAGTAACAGGAATGACTCTTCTGCGTAACAGTAACTGGGATTTTTTTGTGTGTAAAAGTAACAGGAATGACTCTTCTGCGTAACAGTAACTGGGATTTTTTTTTTGCATAACAGTAACAGGAATGAGTCTACTGTGTAACAGTAACAGGGATTTTCTTCTGTGTAACAGTAACAGATTAGCTCCAGACAATTCTGTTTTTGCAGTCTTGTAGAACACTGTCATGGTTCTAAAAAAAACAATGTGTAATTTCTATTTTTCTTTTGGTTGTGGGTATAATATGGCCTGATCACACAGAGATAAGAGATGGTCATGGTCCAACAACAGACCTCTGTAAAGCGTTGTCTAATACATGCTTATCACTTTACAGTATGAATGGTGCATACTAGCACTGGCATTTGGTGCTTTGGTGTATGTGTGAAGTGAAAGCAGGTGGTAACTCTCTGTACATACTGTTCTTTCAGCACTCCCTGGACACACTTCCTCTGGTGGGCATTAAGTGTGAGACTGGAGCGAGCCGGAGATGCTCCTGTATTCATCTGCTTCTTCTGATATTCCTTCTTCATGTTCACCTAACAACACATTACAGCACACAATGACACCGGGGAAATGACATACATCTGCGCTGCTCATGGCAACAGAAGAACACTGCCAAAACAAACTAGGCTTTAACTAGGATACACAGTGAAGCAGCGTAAATATAAGACTGACAACAGCATTAAACAGACCTGTTTAATGCCGTTGTCAAGGTGACGGAGCTGATCGTGGATGGTCTGCAGTTCCTTTCTCATTATTTTTTTAACTGAAGAGGACGTTTTGAGTTCAGAAAGTTCAGAAAAACATGCCCATTTCAAAATATTTCTATTTAACTAAATTCAAAGAAAGGTGAACCTGTTCATGATGGCTTCCTGATGATACTTGGCATCTTCATATTTATCAGCCAGCCGCTCCGCAGCCTCCCTCAGGCTTTTTCTACAACACACCACCACATCTTTAGCATAGGCACCTACCGCAGTAAACCACAGCATTAATGACACTTTTGTTCTGAGCCCACTCATATATTTCCACTGTCTACCACACTACATATTATTATACTACACTATAATAACATGAGGTTTTGCTCTATTTGTAGTACTCATACATTTAGTTCTTCCCAGCGACTCAACTGAGCTAAATGTGTTTATTTATGTGTGGTTGTGATTAGTGTTATTCAGGCAATGCTGTGGTCACCTCTCTTCTCTACAAAGAGCAAGATCCTCCAGCTGCTTATTCTTCTGGCTGGTCAGGAGCTTTACTCTGAAAAGGGGACAATAATGTAATGAATTATCACAGCTGTTGTTACATGGACTGCAACAATTTCACACTACTAATGATGAAATTTTATATTAAGCTGTTTATGTAGAACAAAACTATAGTTACTTTTATACTCCACTGAGCATAATTCATATTCAGATTTAAATTAGAGCATTAAGTGCTATGACTGGAAAATAGAACTGCATTGATACCATAGTGCAAATGGAAATACTACAGTACATTTATATACTATCATTCAAAAGTTTGGGGCAGCAAGATTTTTTTTTTTTTTAAAGTTTTTAAAAGAAGTCACCTTTGTTCACCAAAGCTACATTTATTTGATCAAAATACAGTAAAAATGTTGAAATAATACATTATAAAACAACCGTTTTAACATTTTTTTAAATTTAATTTATTTGTGTAATGGCAAAGCTGAATTTTCAGTGAGCCTTAAGTGTTCAGAAATCATTCTAATATGCTGATTTGCAGCTCAAGAAACATTCATTATTAAAGTTGAAAACAGTTGGGCTGCCTAATATTTTTGTGGAAAGTGTGATACTTTTTTTCAGGATTCTTTGATGAATATAAAGTTTAAAAGAACAGCAGTTATTTGAAATAGAAATATTCTGTAACTTTTTACAAATTTTTACTGTCACTAAAGTTGAAAACAGTTGGGCTGCCTAATATTTTTGTGGAAAGTGTGATACTTTTTTTCAGGATTCTTTGATGAATATAAAGTTTAAAAGAACAGCAGTTATTTGAAATAGAAATATTCTGTAACTTTTTACAAATTTTTAGTCACTTTTGATAAATTTAATGCATCCTTGCTGAATAAAAGTATTAATTTTAGAATAAATAAATCTTACTGAGCCCAAACTTCTATTCCTAACTTCTAATTTTCTATTCTATTTACAGTTTTATATTACACATGCTTTACATATTTGCAGTTTATTTATTGTACAATATTGATCTGATTGTGGAAGATGAGCCTGTTTTTTCTATAAACGGTCATAATGAAAAAAAAAAATTATTCTAAAAAAAACAATGTTTTACTGCATCCTTGATATAGATTTTTATACACACACACACACACACGCTAAGAAAAAAATAGTGACCCCACACCCTTAAGCATATTTAGATGTACACTACTGCTCATTAAAATAATTTTCAGTAATATCAGCTGTTAATAAAATTGACGATTCTAAAAAAAACAATAGGTTTTACTGCATCCTTGATAAATATAGATTTTTATACACACACACACACACACGCTAAGAAAAAAATAGTGACCCCACACCCTTAAGCATATTTAGATGTACACTACTGCTCATTAAAATAATTTTCAGTAATATCAGCTGTTAATAAAATTGACCTAAAACCATTATATCTTGTACCTTCTCTGCATTTCTTCATGAGCCAGGCCCAGTTTGAGGATGTACTCCTCTCTGAACACTTGTGTGGCTCTGCTCAACAGCTGCAGACATTCTGGAGGAGGAGGAGACGAGTCCTTATCACCCGCCCTAAAATACACACACAAAACACCAGACAATTTTACAAACTTTGTACAAATAATTAAAAAAAAAGAACGTAACAGCCTCGGTAATGTCCATTCATAAAGCTTTATATTACAAACCAGTGTAATATAATGCAATAAAACATTTTGATGTGCTTAAGCTGCATTATTGAAAATGGTAGGTGGTTTGTTGCTGGTTCAAGATGGTCTACCAGCCCTAACGGGTTAGACCAGGATGATCTAGCAGGTCAAGACCAGGTCTTCCAGCAGATAGTGCAGGTGATCAATCATTTAGAACCATGTAAAACCATCTTAAGTTAGTTTTAGCTGCTTTTAAAAAATGAAACTTAATATAAGCAGTCACATTTTACCTCAGCATTAATGGATTGGTTGAGCTGCGTGCCAGGATGTTGCGAATATGCTGTTCAAAGGAGTCTTCAGCCAATCCACGCAGAGGAGAGCTTCCTGACCCCGCCCCCGGATGAGAGCAGAGCAATGGAGGGGACGGTGGACGAATAGAGCTTCTAATCGGACATTTAAAAAGAAAATCTTATATAATCAGATAAAATCATAAAAAACAGATAGCAAGTAATTTACTTTAAACTATAATCTAACACAAGGATTCCCAAACGTTTTTGTCAGCTGAACCCCTTAAAATATATAAACCCCGTAAAATATTTACTTGAAGCAACCCCTGAGATTTTAAGTTAGTATTTCAATAATTTAACAACATATTTGCATATTATCTGATGTTGACAATTATTATTATTAGTATGATTTAACACTAATTATACAAATGAAGACAAATACAATGTTGACAGAAATCAAATGCTTTTTTTTTTTTTAAATAAAATATTAAAAAAATAATAATCTAGGCCGGTATTCTTAAAGCTTCTAAGAATCCTCTCAGAGAGCTCCTAATTTAGCTTAAAAATGTCTAACTAGGAATCTTATCTTAAGAGTGATTCAGGACCAATCTGAGAGCAACTCCGAGCGAGGAAAAGACAAAAACTTTCATCTTAGTGAGGAGGCGGGGCTGACCCCGTTGCTAGGTATGACACAATCTTTGGAAGACTGTGATTGGTTGTCCAAGAAGAAAAAAAAATAAAATAAGAGCACTCTTAAATAGGGTCTTTTTTATTTCCTATTTTACCTTAATCACACACACACACACACACACACATATATATATATATATAGAGAGAGAGAGAGAGAGAGAGAGAGAGAGAGAGATTTTGTGGTGCCTCCAATAAGATCGGTCGCAAACATGATCCCTGCACAATCTAATCTGTAGCGTAATAATCTAATCTGTAATTTTCTTATAATTTTGTCACTAGGAGCAACTCTTTGCACTAAGAATTTTCATGAATACAGGCCCTGATAATTATACTGAAATAAACTGAATGCTTCACTCAGAAACAAGCAGCACATCAGACAGTTGTTTAATTAAACTGCAGTCTTTGATTTGATAATTGCATTAAGCTATATTACGAAAATCGTGCACCTCATTTATTTATTTTAATTTTACGTTCAATATAATTCATTAGCTTTTCATCAACTAACACAGCCCCTGAAATTCCCTCACAAACATCCATTTGGGAAACCCTGACTAATAAAGAGGGAAAGAGCCAGGAGTGTGCTTGTCACATACAGCAGAGGGAGCAGGAGACACTCGTAGGTACTCGTGATGCAGATCATGGTGGCTCCCAGGGACAGGTCTGACACTATCCAAAACCCACGAACAGGAGCCGGCAAACTGAGAGAGAGATCATACAAGAGGAGAATTTTAATAAGCACCAGTAATCTACGGCGCTTACTCATCGTCCCTTAAGGTTTTCTTAAACATCTGCAAATTGGGCTTTTGTTTACAAGAGATCTGGGTTTTAGCTTTAACGGTCGCTTCCTGTGAGCGTTCTTCTACCTGTTAGCGAGAGGTCTGGTGCACAGGATGTGCTCCACTATGCAGCGCTGCTCTGCTGCCAGCTCCTGCAGACTGTCTTTATCCTCCTCATCTGCACATAAAACACACAAACTGAGTTCTTCAAACTCTGTAATCGTAAATATTTAAATGTTGCAAGTAAAGGTTATACTCACCAGACTCCAGAAACTTGTGTAGTTTTTTGAACCAGATGAGTCCTACACTGTGTACACCGGCCTCATGTGTGCAGTGGTACCTGTGCTGACACAGAGGGTCTGAAACAGAAGGTTTTGGACAAAAATTCATACTTTTATTCAGCAAGGGTGCATTAAATTATTTTAAAAAAATGACAGTAACAACATTTGTAATATTACAAAACACAAATAAATTGTATACTTTCCAATCACCAAAGAATTCAGAAAAAAATATATCACAGTTTCCACAAAATTATTAAGCAGCATTTTTTGATATATATATATATATATATATATATACGTATATGGGCTGTCAATAGATTACAATTTTACACACGCTACAGGTCTTTTAATGTTTTTGAAAAAAGTGTCTTCTGCTCACCAAGGCTGCAGTAATAGTAATATTGAGAAATATTATTTCAATTTAAAAAAAAAAATCTATGTGAATACATTTTAAAATCTAATTGATTGCTGTGATCAAAGCTGAATTTTCAGCATCATTACTCCAGTCTTTCGGTGTCACATGATCCTTCAGAAATCATTCTTATATGTTGATTTGCTGCTCTGTTATGATTATTGGCGCTTAATCATTAATATTGGTTCTTATCAATATTGAACACATTTTTATTTCTGATTATTATCAATGTTGAAAGCATTTGTGCTGCTTCATATTTTTGTGGAAACCACAAATTTGTGGATTCTTTGATGAATAAGTTCTTTGAAAAGTTCAAAATAACAGCATTTATTTGAAATAAAATCTTTTGTGACATTATAAATGTTTTTACTGTCACTTTTGATCAATTTAATGTGTCCTTGTTGAATAAGAAAAAAAAAACCTTGTGGTTTTTACAATATTTTTTAAAATAGGAGAGTAAACCGCCAGTAGGTGGCGCCAAGTGACTGTTTATTTGAGTCAACATTTGAGTCATTAGTTCAACATAGGGGTGGGCGATATGACCAAAATCTTATTTCACGGTATGAGAAAATAAATTGTATAAATAAAACACTGCATCAATCAAACATGATTAACATTAATAATGACAGACAGCAGCAGGTAAATAAGGCTGCTGTCCCTTTAAGACCAAGCCAATATACTGAAACACATCCGGTTTTCACCCAACTGTTTACATTTAATTAACACCTAACCGACTGTGTTTACTTGAATACTCCACACGACGGGTATTATGACATAACTGTGTGCGTATTTGACCATTCAAGCACAATAAAACAGGAAAGAGATCTGTTTTCGCGATCGCATGCTGTCTGAGAGAGGCGCTTTCTGAGTTGTGCTTTGTGTGTGTCAGTCAGCGCGGGCACCGCATTGAGTTCTTTTTCACTGGTTATTGCACTTAATAACTCGATCAAGTGCGTCACTCTTTATTTCCTCATTCATGCATGTTTCCTTATCACTCAAAGGTGAATATAACGTTTAAGCAGATATATTTGCACACCGCTGAATACACGTTATAGCTAAATCTCTAACGATAGACACTTTATTCCGCGGTAACTATATATAACGTCATACCACCCAGCCCTAGTTCAACAGATTCGTTCAGACGGCTGATTCATTAAAGAATGAAGCAAGTGCCTGTCTTTATGAATGGATCACTGAATCATTGACTTGAATGATTAATTCAAAAACACTGAATCATTCCGTCATGAAACACCGCTGTGTGTAAGTCACCTAATGTTAACTACTTGTTTATTGAATAAATAAAATCAATGTCAAATCTGTAATCGTGCTGATATTCTGGAAACAGCACTCTCTTGGCCGTCTCATGTTGCTTAACAAGGTTATATCATATGTTTTAAACAAAAAATTTGTTTTGATTTCTCCACGAGAGTCTCTCTCTCACACACAGACTTGCGTGGCCTTGTTACTGTCAATACATTATTCATTATCAATCATCATTTACACTGAATGTAATAAAATCGGAATCATTCTCGCCAAAATTGCTCAGTTGCACTTCCCCATTTCTTTCCAACTTTAAAAAGTTAGCTTATTAATTATGAAGGCTACATTCAAAATAAACTTGTTAATATTATTTTTCTTCAAAACCATCTAAAAACTTTTAATGCCTGTAGGAATACAATTTAATTATTTTTAATGCTATTTAAGGCCTTAATGTTCGCTAAATCCATTTAATGACTTTTATTTCTTTTCAATGCCCCGCAGAAGCCCTGTATAATTTTATGACATACTACTACATACCCAAAAGCAATTTGATTCTCATCACCATCAAAGTACATATTACGATGTAATATAAGTATTTAAATTAGGATGTAGTCTCTGTGTGTGGTGAGTGCTTGTGTCACCTCGGTGTAATCTGATTGGACAGGTGAAATCTGACTCTGTAATCTCCTCTTCCTCCTCCCCAGCAGCCAGTTTGAGTGTCAGTTCCAGCTCCACACACTCAAACACATAAAGCGAAGGCACCGTCTCTGAGCCTCTGGACCATCTCTCTACAGCCTGAATGCACAGAAACACAGGGGCTCAGCATCTCGCACACTGGACAAGCTGCATTTGATGAACTGTGGGATGGAATGACTGAATTCTGTCTGTCTTACTCCGCCATCCTCCTCTTCCTCTGCCTCCAGCACCACACAGTGGTACAGCATTCCTGATTCAGTGGCAATAACCAGGATGTTTGGCACACAAGGCAGGCAGAGCACAGCACACGCGTCATAGCCATAGTTATCTTCTGCTGCGGGGTACATGGGTAATGGGCCCATCGGCTTCCCTAAATTACTGACACTAAGAGAAAGACGGAAGATCAATGGAGCAGCTCTCTTGACAGGCTTCACATTAAGAAATCATTAATTGTGACAAGGAACTAAAAAGGATATACATCCACAACAAATGAGAGCTGGGAAAGCTCTAATACATGGGGATGTTAGATAACTATGTAAGAGTTCACATTTTTGAAAATATTTATTGAAAATGTTTTTTTTTTATATTATACTATACTATATTATATAATTATAAGCCTAATAAATAATTGACCTCAAAAAGGGAATTCATGAGCAATAACTCCATTTTTTCATATTATATTATATTATTATAAAGAAGTGAATTGTTCTGCGTGTTTGTTTTTTTTATTTTAAGATTTTTTTTTAGTATTTTTTGGTAAAAGCACTGTAAAAAATGTTTTCTCATGTAACCTAAAATTAAGGGTCAAATCAAATATAAATAGCACAAAGTTAAAAGTTACACTTTTTGTGTGCGCGCTATACAGGTCTGGTTGGTATAAAGAATGTTTTTGCTCAAGTGGCTGAAATGTCCGCCCAAAAGAGAAAAAGTTTTGCTCAGCAAGAAAAAAAATTAGAGGGAACATTGCAAATAAGTACAGAAAACTTAAAAATAATAATTAAAGTACATAAGAATATGTACATCATATGATTTTTTTTTCACATTACTAATGCAAAACTCGGGGAAGCTGCCATAATTGCCATAACAATAATGTCAAAATGCAAAAAAAAAAAAAAGAATTTATTTTAAGTGTAACCTAAAATTAAGGGTCAAATCAAATATAAATAGCACAAAGTTAAAAGTTACACTTTTTGTGTGCGTGCTATACAGGTCTGGTTGGTATAAAGAATGTTTTTGCTCAAGTGGCTGAAATGTCCGCCCAAAAGAGAAAAAGTTTTGCTCAGCAAGAAAAAACATTAGAGGGAACATTGCAAATAAGTACAGAAAACTTAAAAATAATAATTAAAGGCAAATGAGGCATCTGTGTTAACATCAGGAAAAATATTCATTATACATTTATATACATTATTACACATTTTACTCATTACCATAATGTGACCAGACATTTTACAATTTTTTTTATTCCTATTAGTCTTAAAGTCAGTACAATAAATACTATAATGTATATATTCAAAATATGTTTCCATTTTATTTTGAATATGTACATCATATGATTTTTTTTTCACATTACTAATGCAAAACTCGGGGAAGCTGCCATAATTGCCATAACAATAATGTCAAAATGCAAAAAAAAAAAAAAGGATTTATTTTAAGATTATTTATACTATTATTTTTACTTTTAGTACATTAAATACTTTGAATTAGCTTTTATTTTTATATTTTTGGTTTTCAAATTCAGTTTTAATAATTTTCTTTGAACTTGCCATTTTTATTCGTTTTTTTTCTATTTCTAATTAGCTTTAATATATATTTATTTCAGTTTTATATAGTCATTTTAAATTATTTTATTTCAGTTAGTTGCCAAAGCAAAATTTCTAATTTCCATTTAAGTTTACACTTTTCACCTAATATATGTAATTTTATTTCTGCTTTATTTTAGTTAATGAAAAATAAAAATGTAAAGTTTCAGTTAACAATATCAACACTAAAAAAAAAAAAATAACATTTCCTTCTTTTGTTTTTGACCTGAAATGAGATTCACCTATATAGATAATAATACTGTACGGCAGTTGTATGGATTTATATCATTTCGATTTTCACTTTTTGTTAATAAGGAGTATAATCATCACATCATGTCAGGGTCATAGACATGTTTGTTACCTGTGTGTGAGAGAAATATAGCTCAGAAACGTCTCTCCATTCCCATACAGAATGTACAGTGGATACACCAGCAGCTCTGCCTTTATACGCAGACCGCTCAGATGAGGAGAATCCGCCAGCGGTCCGAAGTCAAATGCCACAGCCGTCTCCCCCAGAGATGCTGCATAGGAGCGTCTATAAAAGAGCGGGACTTCTTTAATTCAACATCACAACAACACAGTTATTTTGTCCATAATATATCTGTTAATTTATTTCTTAACACCTCATTTTTAGATCCAAGCAGATTACCGATAGCTTCTAGCAATACCATCTAGTAAAATGAAATGATCGTTTGGAAGAAAACAGTCAAACGTACCCTCTTGTATGAACAATGCTTTCCTCGTCTACCTGAGACACAGATAAAACTTTGGCGGGGGACTGTGGCTCCTTAAGATTGTAAAGTCTGTGGAAAACATACATTCTTTGTACAACTAACAGTAATTCTATTGTTCAGAGAGAGAGATCTTTAAAGAGCTATTTCACTTAAAAACAAAAATTCTGTCATCGTTTACACAACCTTATGTCGTTCCAAACATATAAGACTTTAAAATTTGAGACACAAATTAAGATATCCAAAAAAGTTATAAAAACGTTGAAAAACTATGGTTTCCACAGGTTTTAAGAAGGTCAAATTAAGACATTACACACCAAGTAAAGACAAATTGAAGAGAACGCATACATAAATGTGACCCTGGACCACAAAACCAGTCATAAGGGTCAATTTTTCGAAATTGAGATTTATACATCATCCGAAAGCTGAATAAATAAGCTTTCCATTGATGTATGGTTTGTTAGGATAGGACAATATTTGGCCGATATACAACTATTTGAATATCTGGAATCTGAGGGTGCAAAAAAATCAAAATATTGAGAAAATCTCCTTTAAAGTTGTCCAAATTAAGTTCTTAGCAATGCATATTACTAATCAAAAATTAAGTTGATATATTTACGGTAGGAAATTTACAAAATATCTTCATGGAACATGATCTTTACTTAATATCCTAATGATTTTTGTCATAAAAGAAAAATCTATAATTTTGACCCATACAATGTATTTTTGGCTATTGCTACAAATATACCCCAGCGGGACTGGTTTTGTGGTCCAGGGTCACATATGTTCTCTAAATGTAACTGTCTAGGGAGCACACGCTGTATTAGCAACACTACAAAGTTTGAAATGCAACTTCTAACAGATTTCCAATACTTTTAAATTCATTAAAAAAAAAATAAATAAATAAAAATAAAAAAAATATATATATATAGCTTTCCTAGAATATGAAAATAACTTTTAATGTGCCTTAAATTGAATCTGTTCATCATATAAAGTGGTAGATTAAACTGCTAGATTACTATGGATTAGTTTTATGATGCCTTTATAACCTTCATTGGATCTTTTACGTTTTGGTTGCCTGGACTTTCAATGGAGGAACAGAAACCTCTCGGGTCTCATTACAAATATCTTAATTTGTGTTTCAAAGATTAACCAAAGACTTATTGATTTGGAAAGACACGAGGGTGAGTAAATGATGACAGGATTTTCATTTTTGGGTGAACTATCCCTTTAACACCTCTGCCAGTCATTTATTTCAGATACCAACCTGATGGTGTTATCTGAGGTCAGAAAAACCAGATGAGGCTCCTCAGTTTCGCTGGGATACCAGGCAGCCTGTCGGAGTGTCACAGAGGGAGAACTAGTGAAGAAACGTTCAGCCACAGGAATCGTCCTGCAAAAAAGGAAACACATAACACTAAAGACCCTGAAGGGCACTACGGTGGAATAACGCCGCTCTCCTAAAGCTGAAGCGTAGCGTACTCACTTGCAGTTGATCTGGACGCGGCCACTCTCGAACTCTGACCTCTTGCCCCAGCGCTGAGGCAGCTCCAGTATAGTCGCTCCCCGCTGACCGATGAGAGCCACGTGATACTGCGCGGGGCTGACGAGCACCTGACACACCTCAAACAGCGGCGGGTTGATGCACAGCAGAGTCTGCGGAGAGTTGCGGGACATCGCTCGCTATTTACATGTAGTCAGTGAAATAAACATACCAGACAGACGCTATTCAAAGGCACTGACCTGGTATTTAGAAGTGTCTGTGTCGCCGTCGGTGTTCAGCTGTCGCAGGTTTGTGGTGTAAAACACACTCTCAACACTGTCCCATATGAATAGGTCACCGTTCAGACAATCCCTTTAACACCTCTGCCAGTCATTTATTTCAGATACCAACCTGATGGTGTTATCTGAGGTCAGAAAAACCAGATGAGGCTCCTCAGTTTCGCTGGGATACCAGGCAGCCTGTCGGAGTGTCACAGAGGGAGAACTAGTGAAGAAACGTTCAGCCACAGGAATCGTCCTGCAAAAAAGGAAACACATAACACTAAAGACCCTGAAGGGCACTACGGTGGAATAACGCCGCTCTCCTAAAGCTGAAGCGTAGCGTACTCACTTGCAGTTGATCTGGACGCGGCCACTCTCGAACTCTGACCTCTTGCCCCAGCGCTGAGGCAGCTCCAGTATAGTCGCTCCCCGCTGACCGATGAGAGCCACGTGATACTGCGCGGGGCTGACGAGCACCTGACACACCTCAAACAGCGGCGGGTTGATGCACAGCAGAGTCTGCGGAGAGTTGCGGGACATCGCTCGCTATTTACATGTAGTCAGTGAAATAAACATACCAGACAGACGCTATTCAAAGGCACTGACCTGGTATTTAGAAGTGTCTGTGTCGCCGTCGGTGTTCAGCTGTCGCAGGTTTGTGGTGTAAAACACACTCTCAACACTGTCCCATATGAATAGGTCACCGTTCAGACAAAACGTAAGGTTCTTGGCTATTCTTTTGCTTGTCCCCTGAGGCTCTAAATGAAGCCTTTCTTGTAATTTACTGAAAATATCGTGGTTCTTCAGCGCTTCCCTCCAGCGATCTCCCGCGAACGACGCCATGTTTTCCCGTGTTGTAGAAAAGTCGTCAGAGAAATCCACCAATAGGATCGCGCTACACGACTACAACTTTCCTGTTGCATCCCGGGATTTGTAGTTTATTAAGGCGCGTTGTCATTTTAGCCCGTGCTGTAGCACATTGAAAGAAAGAAATAAGAAATATATATTGAAAAATTAAACATACAACAAAAAGTTGTTAAATAATACTTTATAATTTATTAATTTAGCAAATATTTTTTAGAATAAAAAGATTTTTTTGCGAAAATGACCATAATTACATAATTTTACTTGTGTAAAACCCAGCCCTTTGAAACTGAAAATATTAATACTAGGAAATTAATATACGATATGAAATGTTTGTTAACTTAAGTTAAATGAATGATTAGCTCTGTTAGCTCTGCCTATTTTATTTCATTTAGTTGGCAAGTAAAAATTTCGACATTTTCTTTAGATTTTTAAGCTTAATTTTAATTCATGAAAATGATTTTTAATACTTGAGTTTAGTTAACAATAGCAACTCTGAAAAATTAAATAGCCGTAAATATAGGCTTAGTTTTAAGCAAAATCTATAAGCAAAAGATAATTTATTTTTATTTCCTCTTTTTAATTTTTGAACTGAAATGTTTTGTCAGACATGTTCTTTGCAGGTTTCAGGCTTATGTTTGGAAAATTTAACTTACACAATTCCGATTTATGTCCAATAATTCCTTCTTCTTCTGCTACTTCTTAATAAAAAGAATAAAAAAAATTTAAGTTAACAAAGGAGTATAATAAAAATAATATGCCAATTATATTTCACTATTGTGTGGACAGCAGCATACTTCTTAAAGTTGCAGATTAATTATATAGAAATTGATATTGTTGCAGACAGTGTTCATATTGTTGCTATTGTTTTTTATATTTTATATATTTTTTTCTTAATACATGTAATGTAGCCTACTATTTTTCGTATAGCTGAAGCTTAGGCTATGCTAAAAGCTAAAGATAATTCTTAAATTCTTTCGAAAAACTCAAAATTATATTTATGTTAGGCTTATAAACAATATATACATAATATGTTTGTCTTTTTGCACAAGATAAAGAACTTGGCTTATTGTAATTTATTCTTTGTATAAATAATTGTATAATATCTCCACCTTATGCAGTGTTGGGGAAAGTTACTTTTAAAAGTAATGCATTTACAATATTGCGTTACTTCCTAAAAGGTAACTAATTACGTTACTTTGTTACTTTTTATGGAAAGTAATGCACTACATTACTTTTGCGTTACTTTTTCTTATCTGCCTTGGCCTCATTTTTCTCTCTTCAGAAAAAAAAAAGAAAAAAAGAAACACAAATGATATGTTTATCAGTAGTCATTTTTGCTTATTATTATGGTTGATCATCGAAGGTCAGCAGCAAAGACATTGGTTAATAAAATGGAATTAAATGCATAAAGGATATTTGTGTTATTTAACATGTTTGCGTCATGTCCTGAGTTTGCTTTTGACTGTTTTTCTTCATTTTGAGAAATACTGAATCTGTTTTTGTGCGAGTGAGACGAATAAGTAGGCTACATGTTGAAATTTAGTCTAGAACTACAGTAACATCATGTTCACACAGCGCACACAACACTCCTGATTTCCCTCAACATGGGGACAGGAGAGCTGTCAGTCAATAAATGGGAAACAAAATAACTGGCGTTACTTATTTGAAAAAGTAACTCAGATAATTTATCTTCTAAATTAAAAAGTAATGTATTACTTTACTAGTTACTTGAAAAAAGTAATCTGATCACGTAAACTCGCGTTACTTGTAATGCGTTACCCCCAGCACTGACCGTATGTAACTGATTTCTGTATTTTGTGTGTAATGTATGGCACGTTGTCAGTGCTGCGGCGTGGCGCCTCCAGGCGGTGGAATGCGGAACTGGAGGAATCTGTAACGTGTGCCATAGTCTCTGCGTGCATTGTCTTCGCAAACAGTCAGTGGTGCGCCTTCATGCCGATGAGAGCGTCTCCGGCACCACTCCCGTGTTCACGTACATTTGGCGCCGAGCGTGAGCAAAATGGAAGTTAAATGGCTGGCAAACGGAGTTGTTTAGTGCGCCTCACGGGGACCGGAATGTCCCAGAAAAGGGACGTGAACTCTTACCCAGATGGGTACCGGGTCCTCAATAGCAGTGAACTACGGGAGCTCGTACAAGATGAAGAAAAAATGAATCAGATCGTTCGACTCAGTGAAGAGGTATTTCATCGGTTCACACACACAATTTAGACCTTTAACAGGCTGTTTCTTTGCATGCTTGTCATTTTTTCTCTGATCAACTGTTGTACTTGTCATTTGAACAAAGAGTGCGGTAGATTTTGTTCCATTCACCTATCAGACTGCTCGTGTGATTTGTGTAGCGTTATATGCATTACACGCCATCACATACATCCTGTAACGTTACCCCATACAGCGCTGCAGACCAGTGCACTGCAGACTCACATCCTTGATAAAATAATGTTTTGTGCAGACGTTATTTCTTAAGGGAACCGTTTCCCAAATATTTACTGTCAACGGTTAAAGTTTTGTGCATTAAAAGTAGCTAAATAACGAATTAAACTATTTTAGTAATATGCTGCTTCACATATAAGACATTTAATTTCCCACTACAGTTTTGCCAGGGTACAAAAGTGTTGACAAAAACGCGTATTTTCCCCTCCCTTGATATAAAAATCAGTTTTAATACGCAAGTCTTCGGAATACTTGATTCTGATTGGTCAATCGCACTATACCAGCACTGCATAAAGTGATTTATAGTATAATAAATTACTATTGTTATATCGTTGCAGTGTTAATGTTGTTGCCATTGTTTTATTTTTTAAATTATTATTCTAAATGGTATATTTTTTTCACAATAGATGTAATAGGCTATTTTTATTAGCTGAAACTCTAGGCTTAACTGAAAGCTAAATATCATTATCAAATTCTTCTCTAATATTTCATGTTCACTTATTTATATATGTATAGTTAATGCCCCCCATCCCCCCATATAGATTGTCTAAGAGTCGCAATAATGAGCGGCTGACTGTATATTATCTCTTAAATATCACTCATTGCATTTCAAGGGTTCATTGTAATGCAGTCAGTGTTCAAGTTCATTGTATTCTATTCCTATAAATGCATTT